TCTATTGTAAGTTGGAAAGGAAAATAATTACCGGATCTTGAGTTCTAGATTTTTCGTCAATTGATGCATAGGATTCTCAAGCCGGAAGACAAACGATGAATCTTCAAGTGCATTTAAAGGATTAGAGCTAGGTAGTACTATGCTCGCATCAACGAAAGCCCTAAGATTGACCAATGAGTTCCTGTCATCTTCAATTATGGCGTGGGGTGTGCGATGGACTTACCTCCACGTGGTGCACCCTGGGCAGCGTATACTCACACCTTACCTCCACGTGGTGCACCCTGGGCAACGTATTCTCATTCGGCTACCTCCACGTGGTGCACCCTGGGCAATGTATACTCATACACCTCCACGTGGTGCACCCTGGGCAACGTATACTCACGATAGACTTACCTCCAGGTGGTGCACCCTGGACAACGTATACTCAAACGGCACGTGGTGCACCCTGGGCAACGTATACTCATACGGCTCCACGTGGTGCACCCTGGGCAACGTTTACTCATACGGCTCCACGTGGTGCACCCTGGGCAACGTATACTCATAAGGCACCACGTGGTGCACCCTGGGCAACGTGTACTCATACGGCAAGTAAGTCTATCACGTGGTGCACCCTGGGCAACGTATACTCATACGGCAAACAAACTGGTGCACCCTGGGCAACGTATACACGGCAAAAGAGTCCGTGGTGCACCCTGGGCAACGTACACTCACACCTTACCTCCACGTGGTGCACCCTGGGCAACGTATTCTCATTCGGCTACCTCCACGTGGTGCACCCTGGGCAATGTATACTCATACACCTCCACCGGGTGCACCCTGGGCAACGTATACTCATACAGCAAAAATGTGGTGCACCCTGGGCAGCGTATACTCATACGGCAAAAAATCTGTTAACTGGCAGTTGATCTCTGACTTCAAACATCCAAAACCCCACTCAATGTCATATTGTCATATGGCCTTTGTGTCTGTCTGTCTGTTACATCTGTGAATCGCTCTTCTTCCCCCCTATCGAATTTTTCTCACTTTAGTATTCCTCCCTTCTGTGAAGCCTGAAGTCAACTAAAGGGCTAATGATAACTATCAAAACGCCTGCCATATGAAATAAATTATGGCGTATAGAAGGTCTAGATGGTCCAAGAAGTTCAATTTTATCAGAACACTACCCGAATGCACTACTTCAAGCACATACTAAGTCTCGTTATCCCGCTGTTTTAACCATTAGAAGTGAGATGATTAATAGTCTTTATTATTCAATCTGATTTTTCTAAATTTGAATAGCGCAATATTGAGTAGCTGACCAATCAGATATTAATATAAAAGGTATACATGATACACAATCTAATTATTTGCCAAGGAAGTTCCATTGAAGTGAACCGTTCAAGTTTGAGTTAACTAAACACATGCGACAGTTCTGTTTCCAGGTAATTAGTGAAAAGAATACTTTCAGCACTCCAATACAATATGCGTGTAGAGGTAGATTAAGGGCAAATTTGAGTTAAATCTCCCTATTCATGCATATAAAGAATTCCAAATTTTGTTGTTTAATTTCACTGCTAACTAACAGTTTCCATACATTCCCTTGACTTGCAAAAACAATAAATCGTCATGAGTTTAAATTTAAGCAATCAAAGCGTCCTGTTTACTATGTTTAACTGCGTTATTAACTTTTGCACCTGATTTGAATTTATGTTTGCAAAATAATGTCACTTGTTCCGACAGCATGTAGCGCAAGTTTTATTTTTAATATTTCTTCTTCAGCTTTAAATGAATATGGAATAGTTTTATATTGCAAAGGAATAATCTTTCGGTTAAGCTCGATTTAAGTTGATTTCATCTGTCTTGAGTTTGTTCTCTCATGCCTAGATTTTGGCCTGTCACTTTTAAAAACTAATCAAAATAAAAATTTTATAAAGTTACGGATCTTATTTTAACCTGATGTTTTCTTTTGAAAGCGCCCATTCAATAGTAAGAAGGGTTCATTTTGAACAAATTTTGGCCTTTATTACAAAATATTAGCAATCTCACCTTGTAAGCATCTGGACTTGTTCCACAGTAAATTGACTAAATGATTAGGTGGAGAGGTTAAAAAATGTGCCAAATGCAAATTTAAAAGTGTTCACATAAATCGGATTAAAAAAATCAGTCATTTGGTGTTCATATTAACACATCATATGGCTAATCAGGTGTAGAGATTTTTTATTATTACAACCAACGGTAGGGTGGGCGCAACACTAACTGCATAGAATTAAAGATATAATTAATTTAGTCTAAAATTCGTCGTAATTTGCAGTGAAATTGGAGATAAATTTGAACCCTCCGGTCCGACCTCCTCTCCATCCTGAATAATTGATTCTTTTCTCTTCCAAGCACCATGAAGTTTCTTGTTTTTTGCCATTTTTAATCCTGAAGTCCTTTTAAACTTTTCGTACAAGCCCAGTTAACTTTTTGAGTTCTCACAACAAAGTTACACTGAAGTAGCACTATATCACTACAGCTTTGTGCCCGTGTGAATAAAATAAAAGCGGTAAACTCATCAGTGGTTAGAATTATGTCGATCATTGCAAGAGCTGGATCGTACTACTATTTTAAAGTAAATCAGTCTACATAAGGACAAAGTTGCTTTAAGGAATAATGCTAGTGAAAGCTGAACGACGACGACAAACCAATAAGGATAAAACTGACATTTAGCTGAAATAGATCACCGTAAACAAACAAAAAGTTGACAGTAGGAGGAAAGCATTAATCAGATGGAAAGGAGAGATTGCATTTCATCCTAATCTTAAGTACATTAAAATAATTAACTAAACAAACTAAATAAACAAGCTAAATAAAATAGGAAAAATTGTATTCCCTTCAAGAGAAGCTAATAAATCATAAAGGGCAAAATATTTAATTAATATTTTAAAGAAAATGGAAAGTCTAAATTTCACATAAAAAATAGTGTAACGCAAGTAAACAATGCAGTTCTTGAACGTGTTCACATGATCAGTGTGTTTACATTACTGATTGCGCACAATAAATCTGCACAAAGTGGTGAGGAAAATCAGTCACTTTCCCTCAGTTTTGGCTTACAAAGATCGTTGGGATTTTCCCTTATATACACGCTTTTATCGATTTACGTGTCAACGACTTCTGACAGAGCCATTTATCCATTCTGTGAATTTCAATCCAGTGGACGGAAGGTTAATGTTAATGTGCCTCTCAGTAATTTCCATTCATGCGCATTTTCCTACCCCTAAGACAGCAATTACGCCTTTGTTACTCAGGATTGCACTGACGCTAACTCAATTGTGCTAAGTTTGAGTACCCGCTACAAAGAATGCGAGTTGACTTTAAAAAGCCCAGTTAACTCTGTTAGTATCGATTGGTCTTACAGCGCTTTTACTTTCTTTCAAATCTACATAGTTTCTTGAACTGATAGTATTTCCCATTCCGTTACAGGTGAGAGATGATCAATGGATCCTCAGCACTTTGGGTATTTTGTTCCGTGATAGAAAGAAGTTAATTAGTATGGTTTAAATCATTCAGTGAGCTGATATTTCCTGGAGGGATGACACAATGGCCACTTGTACAAAGGGAACACGAAGACAACGCGTTGACCACTCATTCGAGCTCGGATGTCGGTTGGCACTTCTGTGCCGAGGGTAGGCACCCATTGAATGTTCAATTGCTCACTTCGGCCTAATTTAGTGGCTCGAAAGTATTAAAAAGAGTATTTTTGCAGCGCCATTAGCTGTAAGTATATATCAAGACAACTCGAACTAAATCCCTAAAGAAACATTTGTGTGCAGTAATTTCACATTTTTGGGCCAATTAAACAAGCGTAAGTGATAAAAAAAGTGAATGAATTATTGAAATTCAAAATTATCATTGATAAGGCATGAGGTCCATTGCTACATCTTAGAGAAGTACTGGATGAGTGAGAAAAGAAGAGATTTTTTTGCGCTGTACCTTTCAAGAGCCAGGGAATAGCGTATTTGTATTGGGAATTGATTGGCCAATATGAGTGCGAGTTCGTGAATAAAGGAAAATTTCACTAATATTTAATGGAAACTTCTCCACCTCCCCTGGAGGATTTGTTTCTCGGGAACTAGACCACTTCGATTAAGTGAGTCTCGTGGTTGGTACATTACTCGTAAATCAGGCAACCTATCACAATCCGATAATTTTAAGGTCCATAAAGTGAAATTTAGGTTACAGTGCTAGCTAGTACTGATAGGCAAATTGCAAAATTGTGTAGCACGAATAAAAAGTAAATTCACCCTGATAATTAATTAGTAAATTGCAAAAAAACCAACCCTTCAACTTGGTAGTGTCTTATTTAGCCATGACGATTGGAGGGGGAGGTGGGGGGGGGGGGGGGGGGGTGGGANGGGGGGGGGTGGGGAATGGAATATATTGCTAGGAGAACTAGGCAAGTGTGGTGATATGAAGCCAACACGAAGCTGCAGTCTTTCCACTTTATTTAAATAAACAACTCACAGAAGCCCACAAGCGATCCAGGCCTAAGCAATATACACCTGCATTCTGGACCGAATACTTCGACGATTATAGTCCCTGTACCTGTAGAGTTGTTGACTATATTCTCCAGTAAATAGTAACCACAGATGATAGTAGACTGACTTGAAGTAACTGCACACCTCCTCTGGCTTTCCTTCGCCTTGTGACCAGAGACAAGAGGTCTCGCGATGTCTAGCAGATAGTCAGATCGTAGTGGCAGAACTAGATCTCACACTTCATAAAACAAAGTCAACCCAACAAAGACAAAAAAGAGCATTCTGCATTTTCAAACAAAAATCTTGTACTTAATAATTGCTAATGATACAGTAAAACATTCATAGGTGTATTGAAATAGCTTAAATTAAAAGGCAAATTAAAGATAATCTCTGTTTCTTTCGTGTGCTTTCAATCTTCTGTTCTGTTAGTTTGGTGGAGCGATTGGTTTTGATCAAGATGGCAAGTGGGTCAATGGGAGGACAGATGGAAAATCCGCGCGTGGTTCAGGTGTGGCCTTTGAAGAGACGAATAATCATATCGACACACTGCATAGTAGCTCGACGGTAATCAGAGTTGAGGAAGGCAAAGTTCAAGAAGGCATGTGGCATTCTAGAAGCGACGTGAACTTCCACTGGAACTCCTAGTGAGTCGGCACGCTTAGCGATTTCCAGTGTGTCATCCAGGAAGGGATCATATTGACAGGCCTATGTGCCGTGAATAAAAAAATCAATCCTAAACCCGTTCCGATGTTAACAACTTTAATACTAGAATACGATTGGAATAACTTTATAACCGTCTCGATGGAGACCGAATATTGTTGCCTACACCACTCATAACACCTAGTCAAAATTAGTGACAGTAAAGTTCCCCAATTATTTACCTTTAAATAAAAGGTACTCTCATTTAGCTTAAATTTCCAATTTATGCTTAAACGAGATGGGAAGAGATTGACAGGTTAATGGTGGTCATGAGTACTGTCCGTCAATAGCTGACAATGAAATGTGGCTAAGAGCTATTTTAGACGGTATGAGAAGTGTCCTATTAACTTAATCCTATTTTACTACACTCGTTCTCCTACGTTTAAAGCATTTTAGAAATTGAACTATCATGCGTAAGTCTTTAAATCTTCAATTAAGCGAAGTACAGAATTGCAAAATTTGCACTCTGTGCAGACCCATAATGTCAGTCGCAAGTGAATTTGAACTAACACAATGTGCAAAAATGAAAATACAAGTGAATAGATCGCCTCATTCATAAAATCCGACACAGGGTCCAATTAATCCTCTCAATAGTCTCAAAAAACTACCCTCCAGTTGAAATTAGGTTCATGAGTTCCCTGAAGGTGGTGAAGATAAAGCAGCAACAATAAGGCTTAGCTCGAACTCCAGAGAGGAACCCAATTTCCAGGAACAAACAAAATTGTATTTTATGTACCCCATTCTGATATCTTTCCTACTCTGCTAAATCGATTTTTTATGGTGGAAGGGGGTGGGAGGCTCATTTTTATCAGATGAGCTAACTGAAGGGAGTTATTGTACGCAATCGTGCAGCCAAAGGTCAACTTACAACAATAGCCAACGGCGGAAGAAGACGAAATAATTCGTCGGAAGCGATGTAAGGCGACAAGAAGGGATCCTGAGGAACGGCAAAGTTGCGAATGCACTTAAGCTTCGCGTCCACTTTGTAGCAATTACCATTACTTTGAGAATTCAGAAACGGCGAATCGAGATTCTCTAAAAAAAAAACAAAAAAACAATAGCACATGAATGCCATTTTTGCTTTAAGCAAATCAGATGATCCAATCTCTACCCTGATTCACAAGACTAAATTAGGAAAAGCTAGAGACAAAAATTTTAATTATATGATGTCAAAAACAATAGTCACGAGTAAGAATTTTCACAAAAGGGGGTTACATGGTATTTGAAAAGTACTTCCCTATAAAGTCCTCAAGATGTTTAAGTGTTCAAGACTTAGCCAAATTACCAGGACTTTATAAAATTCTAAAAAAAGCAAACAGTCGAATACAACGAATGGGAAGAACCACTGCAGAAGACATACCTTTTTATTAAATCAATTAAAATCGAAAAAAATGCAAAATTAAGGTCCACGAGTTCTATAATGGTGGTTTGAAAAAAAGGTGATCAAATGCCGGCGCGCACATTGAATTTCAAATGAACCGCCGCGTTATCGATGGAATTTGGATGCTTAATTAGCACTTAAAAAAACGAATTAGCAAAAGAGGCACTTACTTCACAAACAATTAATAACTGTCAAATGAGTGGAAACCGAGAAAGAAATTTAGTTGTCCCAAGTACTTTTACTTATAATATATTAAACGCCTCAGTCACAAATTGTCGAACTTAACAAAAAAACACGTAAATTTGCCTTAATGGTAAGGTTTACTACAAAATAGTGCAAGGCAGAGAACAAGTTACTTAGTCTATTTAAACAAACATACAAATACTATATACAATTAATAATGCATCATTGATTTAATCTATTGGATAAAGATTACACCTTTAATCGAACACTTTTCGGCGAATTTTGGCTCACAATACGTTCGAGCATTTGAACCACATCAAATTTCCGGGGGAGGCGGGGGGGGGGGGGGGGGGGGGGTGATTATAAGGCAGGGTAGGACCCAAAAGTCAAGATAGATCACTATTGGGTTCTTTTTCAGCTCGAAAGACGTGGCTGCATTCCGAAAATTTCGAGGCGTCGTCTGGTCCTAACGTATAAATAAATAAGGATCATCTTCAAATATCTACTCCCCTTGTGATAAGAGAAGTTGTTTTTAATAACATCAACGAGTTCCTCGTACTGATCACTGCGATTTGGTGAAAAACGTGAAAGAGAGCTAGTTAGAATACGAAAAAGTCCTCGAATTCAGACACGTGAGTAATATTTCTGAACAGAATAACTTTTGGCAGGCCATGTTTGGCGAATATCTGGGGGGAGGCTGTTAATAATGGAACTGGTTGTGATAAAGCACTGGGTATAAGACCAGACCACTTTGAGTAAGACTCGACTAGGATAAAACAAGGCTCACTGGATAGGTACAAAAGGACCGAGACCAATGGGAGACCAAAGAACTTTAGTTTGAAACCACATAAGAAAACCATGGCAAGAAATGAGTACAACTTAGCCTACAGACTGTATAAGCAATTTTGATACTGTTGCCTTGGAGGGATAAGGAGGTTTAGTGGGACCCATTTCTTCGAGTTATTTGTATTTACCATTCACCAGTGCCGATCTCATGGAAGGGCAAACAAGCGAGAGAGTAGTTCGAGTTTGACTAAACTGGTGGGGGAAGGGGGGGGGAGGGGGGATAAACATGCTGAAAACTTAATCCTGATGGACGGTTGAGGAGATCTCGAGGAGACAAGCTACATCAACCTTTTTTGAACTTCCTCTAGACGGCGTATTTTATTGGACTGGAGAACAAGAAGACAAGGAAGACGAGATTGAGTGTCGCTTGGGTACGATGGGATTGAAGACCAAGCATGAGACTCGTTACTTTTACAATATCTCCAACACTGGTGAGTGCAAATTCATTTCATCAAAAGGAGTTGAAATGGAAGGTACCATGGGAGACAGCAGTGCGAAACGAGAGAGATTGCAATTTTAGTAAAAGTATGAGTAACAGCGATAGCGTATGCATTGGATACATCAGGAGACATTTTAGCATCAAGTTTTCCAGAAGGACGTATTTTGAAAGGAATCGCTAAAACGCTCCGTTTTTAAAGAAACTGAAGACTTGATGCTTAGAGCACAGAAAAGAGTCATAATAAGGAAGATGTGCTGGCCACTTATTCTAACCTTAGTAGCCTCCAAGAACTGAATTAAAACGTGCAAATGTCTTGAAGGCTTGCTTTACTCCAAAATGATACAAGACAATGACCTTGATATCGAGCACATTTTAAGAACCATGAAAATTTTAGAAACACAAGTAACTAATTATAATTTGTAAATTCAATTTTTTCTCGTCATTCCATTTTCATGAGAAAAAAAACGGGAAAGGTATTTCTATCTTTTCTTGGGAATAGCAATCAACAAGAGCATTGATTGCTGAAAAAAGTGTGAAACGCAACTTGGCTCAAACCTCAGAAAGGAGAAGACAAATGACATTTGCTCGATAAGAGTGAGACTATTTAAAAAAATGTTAGATAAACCAAAGTTATGGAAAGTAAAATGCTTTCTGAACCCCAATAGTAGGGGTGTACACTTCTAAATTGGAAGACAAATGCCAGACTTGTGAAAATGGCACTACCTTATACTGGAAAGCAGAAATTTCATTTCAAGATGCACCTGTTGTTTTCTAACCCAAATGTTTTTTTGCAGCCATGACATAATAGGATACTGTCAAAATACATTCCCTCTGAGTTCTACATATCCATTTTAAAGCAAAGTATCATCTCAATTGCAAGTAACTTCTCCTATTTCTTGGTAAACAATCATGAAAATTACTCACCCTCATCAGAAGGTACATCTGTCGTGAAATCCAGAGGGGTGATGAAAGCATCCGAAGGAGAACAGGTGGAACAGCCAGAAGAAAACAAGGTATTCTGTGGTGGTGGTGTTGAAATGCTATTGGTATCAATCTCATAGAGACACGGGGAGGTGAACCGGCGCGAGACGACCCGCAATCGATCCATTGAAGGGGTCAAAAGTGGAGAGTCAGTCGGATCGTATGCGGGGTGAGATAATGGAAACCACGAGGACCAGAGACGTAGCCACAGAGGGACTGAGTCTGATATAGACCCTCGTGTCGTCGATTCCTGTTCTTGATTGGACTCATGGCGGTGGAGGTCTGACCTGGAGCCAAGATTAGCAGATTCGGATAACTGACGATCAATTGTCGACTCGTCTATGCCATTGTATGCTAAAGTAAAGCAGAGTTTTGGGTTCAATAATAATAAATTAATAGGCAAACTCTGATACGCAATAAAAAGATAACTTCAATTGGTTGGCTTAATCTTGAAGATGAGAGATCTACAATAAGGTAGAGGAGGTAGAAGAGGAAATTTGAGATTAACTTTACTAAGCTGATTAGCGGTACACAATGGTCCGTAGCTTCGGTAAGATGTAAGCATAGAAAGTGAATTTGTGTGATCAGAGAAAATAAGGGACAACAAACACATTTTGAACATAATGAGGGTAAAAAGCAAGCATCTTCACACACTGGGGCTTTCAAATCAAACTAGACGGAAACATTTTGCTGATACTCTAGTGAAAGGCCATCCAAGCATCCACAAGTCACCCGTTTTAGAAATTGTACATTAAATTAACAAATTCGAACGGAAATTGAAAGATCTTGTTGAGCTGAAGAGATTAACGATCACTGGGTCATCAGATTGTTGGGCCAACAGAATCTAAGGTTACAAATTTAGGACGTATCAAGCTGAAGGAGCTATCGAACCAGAGCTAGATAGTAGTAGAAGTTAAGACTATAGTAAGCCGTCAGCACTAGCAAGCAATAGTTTCAAATGGTGGAACGCAACGAGTTTGGTAGGTTAAAGTGCATTGAATAAGCTACAGTGAGAAATTGAGCGGACAAATGATATGAGGGGGGGGGAGGTGGAGGGAAGCATAACATATAAATTAGTAACTAGGTATGAGAGGAAACTTACCAATGATACACCGTGAGATAACCCCAATAGGCAATAGAGGATCACAAATTGACAGCATTCGTGAGGGAGAAGGAACATAAGCAACCATCGCTGGTGCATAAGCGATTAGAGCTCCAGAAGGACGACAGGCTTTAGCTTTGAGTCCGAGAGCAGCTGCTCGTAGACACACCCCGAGACTCAAGTTGCCACCGGCTGAATCACCACAGACGACTACTCTCGCGTCTGGTCGGGCACCCAAACGCTCTCGGTTTGCCATCACCCAGCACACGGCATGGAAGCATTCGTCCAAAGCGCGAGGGTATGGACTTTCGGGCGCTAGGGAGTAATTGAGGGAGATTATGGGACAGTCTAGCTTCTCCGCCCAGGGGCGGATGTAAACCTATAAAAGAACAAAAACGCAAATAATTTGGAAAGACCTTAAAATCCCTCCTTATACCAATGATTATTTGGACAAACAAAGTACGTGCCATGTGGCAGAGCCTAATTAGTTGTAACATTAGTAAGTCGGAAGAGGGTATGAGAATTCGTACACTGAAGATATGTCAGCAAGAATGTGAACAGTAGAATAATTTACGTCAGTCCTCTTATCTTCAAATAGAAGCCGATGTAACTCCGTCGAGAATTAAAGATTATACGCACGAGTCAGCAGATATACAAAGATCGTACGCATTTGCTCCCTCATGCAAGAGAGGCGTAGTTCTTAATAAAAATGCCTACATTTATGTAATATCAGTAAGATGAATCATAACGGATGCAAACCTTGAGTGATAAATGCTAGTATAGGTTCACCAATCAAAATTCTCCACTTCTAAAAAGCCCATTAAAATGTGTTAGCAGTACATTGACTGTTTAGACGGAAAGTAGCCCTCATGTTAGTTAGACTTAACCCGTGTGGATTGGTCAATCGCATCATTGGATGGATACCTATGAGTAGATAACCGTGTACACGTTGACCACAACGCCACTATTCTACACTGTAAAATAATAACAGTCAAATATCCCTTTAGTGTTATTTACCCGTGATTTCTCTCTTAGTACTAGCATCTCTTTTTTAGCATTTAACCAGTTTAAGGCTCCTTAAAATACGTAGGTAGATTAGTTATTTGGGGGAAAATTTTCACTAATGATATAAGACTGATTTACACAGGATTGGAACCCAAATTCTTGACTCATGTTACGCATATTTGCAAAAAAACGAGAAATACATCGACCCGATATTTCGCCGATCATATCCTCGCGGTAAGAGAACATTTAATTAACACGCTACTTAAATATTGACATAAAACCAGAGTAAGCGTCGAGCGTAGAAGCAGCTTTACGCTACATAGCACATGCTAGGCTCTCATAGAAATGAGGCTGAAAATATCATTGATAAGGATCCTGCTAAAATTCAAGGTTAACTACCTACCTAGGCGGATTTAAGTGAAGACATTAACTGACCGCATAAACCCCCGTCATAGCGAGACAGTATCTTCAACTGAATAGACAAGTGTCGACATATTGACCATCGAAATTATTTACCTTCTATTCTCCTAAGTTCGTTGACTTATTTAAACTACTAGATTTGGTTTATCAAACTGGTGAAGAAAGCACACGGCACTTCAACGTACTTGTAACAAAGATTGCGCACATCATCATTCAGTTAAGAAATACGTGTTGTTCCTGCGGTACGGGAAAACAGAAGCTGGAAATGAGTCTTCAAAGGGTGGGGCTGAGGCCAGGAACGCCACTTAGGAATAATTAAATATGAAAAACATCCTATGAACCGTATGCACTAACGGGGCAGTAAGTATGGTCATCAAAACAGATGGCCCACTTTCTAGGTCCATTAGCTTGTAATCGGTTTGATTGATGTGCCAATTACTAAAATAAACTGATTTCGATTGTTTTCAGTAAACATGAGCTATATTTGCAGGTCCGATCAAGCGTGAACTACACCATTGGTTAGTACATTTTTTGTTATGATCCAGCTATCATTGGCTAACCAAGCGGCCAATCATTTTCTCCTCTAGGTCTGAGAAGTAGTCTAAAAACAGCAATTTCAAGGGGTGACCTAGATTGTACCAGTGACGGGAAATACAGTGGCGAGAACTAGCAAGAAAAGTGCATTTTAAATTTCTAGTACTGAGATGGCGGAAAAGCCAAGATAATTATAAATCCAGGGCATTAGAGCTGCAGCTTTTGATAGGAACGATCACGTGGCATGAAAATTGGAGCCTAATAAATGGACAACGAATAAGCGCACACACACAGACATACTACATGTAGGGATCTAAATACCGACTCTCCATCCCTCCACATATATACCTTTATTTGTTCTCGTCAAGATTGAGATGCTTGAGTCATAGTATCAAAAGCGCCAAATAAAATGCGATTTCGTAAATCTAAGGAAATTTCACTTCAGAATCTTAAAAGCAATAAGCCTACTTTAGTAGGAGGAAAGACTGGCATCAACTTTTCCACTTTCAAATCAAGAATATGAATTTAGTTAGCTAAATGACGTATTGCCAACAAGAAATTAGCAACAATGCAAAAGGTTATGGATTCCCAAACCCATCGGTTCATCACTAATCATTTGAATGGTCATTGATTATCATTGGTTAAGATAAAAGTGGCTGCTAAGTTAGAAAATGTTTTTGCGCATAGAGATTGGAAAATATTTCCCTTTTGTTATTTGTGTTACTAGCTTACGAAATCTCGTTTAAGACCTCACAACTTTTACACTACTTCAGTGCCTGCGAATTGGTGACTCCTCAATAGCTTATCAACTATAGTAATCCTTACTCCATTCAGCAAAACTAATTCAGAGGCTTGAAATTTAGAAATATCGCTCCACAAAGCTATTCATCGCTCATGAAGTTAACAGGATACAGAAGCCTTTCTCAAACCAAAGGATCAAGTGTTTAGTTAAGAGTGTGGAAGTGTGGAAGAGAAAGCGAAGTTGGAGAGCAGAAAACAATTACCACGATGGAGTTGGAGAAAATGGGGCTGTGATAAAAAAAACCAAATTGTGACATCTGACTTGATAAACATGTAGATTTTAACCGCTGCTTAAGCATTCATTTTGCATTAACCTAATATTGACTAGCACTGTTTAACATACAAATCTACTACTCCGGCGTCAATTTCGAAGCCTATATGCATGAAAGTGACATCTTTGCTTCAAGAGGGTCTGATTTTATCGCATAACACTCTCCTGTTCACTTTCTCAAAACTAAAACGAAGATGTAAACGGGAACTAGGTAGTAATTAGCATTGAATACTTTACCATAGTAATAAATTATTCGAGGAATTTCATCGAGTAAATAGAGGCCTAAGACACATGGCACACCCGTAACAGAACAATAGGGAAAAATAGCATAGAGAAAGCCACAGGTTTCACACTTTCATCAATCTAAACATTCATAAGAGAGAGAGGGCAAACAATTGACTTATGCTTGCACTTAAACGGCTGTGCTCACATGGACTCATATACAAGCGAACTCACACACAACTGCATATCACGTCATTGACTAGTCATCAGAAACGTACACCCACATGAGCCCAATTTTAGCCTCAATAGAAGATAGAGTTAATTTTCAATACCCAAGGCCACGTAATTTCATTGAAACTTAATGCATGGGAAAGATCAGATAATGGTACGTTTTAGTGAAACATAAGAGGAAAATTTCAACAAAAGGCAATGAGAGATGTGAGGTGCAAAGGTCGAGTGCAATGGTGAATAGGAGTAGAAACAATACATAGATTGGAAAATGGACTATAATTCGATTGTGAAGAGGGAAGGAGGTCTTACACATGATTGGCTGCCTTATAATATGGCGTACGGGTATGCCGGAATTTCATGAGTAGGAGCAACACTGGTATATGAAAACGAGGTGAATGAGTCACCATATTGACCTGATGAGACATAATATGGAACTAAATGTAGAAGCTTGGAGTAAAGGTGAATAGATTGATAATATATCATTTACTTCAAAGCACTAAACGATTCTTTTGAAAACCATGCAATTATTTATACCCGAACACACAGAACAGGTGAAGACCAACTCAGAAATTGAGTTCAGTCATCAGCCCACTTTGGAAACCGGACGCTGGATGCTGCTCGAGCAGGTAGATGGCAATGAATTGCTAGGTGGAAGAATCAAGACTACAAAACGACAATGAAGTCTGAAGTGACATTGATTATACTTGCAACGCTTACCTAGTTAATTAGGGTTAGACCACAATCCCCATCTGTACTGACCCAACAAGATACATACATTAAATTTCGCTCTCACCTTCCACCTACGTTTAAGCAGTTAGATGATTATTTAGGGGCTATGGAAGAGGGTTACTGTAGTTAGTCCAGGTTTCATAGCTCTTGGCTAATCACAAGCTGATGCAAATCCGAGAAATTTGCACAATTTAAGAACGTGCTTTCACAAATGCTTATGCGGAGGTGAATTTTAAATACAACTGCACATTTTGTGCAGCCTTTTTCTATTTTCTTTTCCTTTAAATGGAAATAAATAATTAATTAATCATTGAAGTGCCTTTACCCTCTCTGTCTTAGATACTTTGAGATTTTGGAAAAATAGCAAAGTGATAATTGAAGGAGCAATTTTCAGCTTAAAAGAGGAAGTATCTCCATTTAGACGAGAGAACATACTGATTTGCTAATAAGGAAGACAATGGTTGAATTTTCTGCATTGTGGTAGGGAGTTATTTAAGATGCGTCTATTTCCTCCCTCCAGCAAATCGGCTTTTCACGATTCATGGTTCAATTAAGGCAAGTCGGATATCGTGAGATTCATTTTTGTGTGTGTGGGTGTGTGCTCAGTGCATAGAGTTAATGGCGTGAGTATCATGCCATATCACGCGATCATTGACAAGGTAATTACATCGGGTATAAACAAAAATGTTTTCACTATCGTCGTCGTCGGTGCCGCCTTAAATTATGACGGAAAGTAAGTTTGGTACTGGATTTACTTTTAAGCTAATGGGGGGGGGGGGGATAAACAGTTCAGGGTCGTGCATCCATAAAGTGCACACAAGGGGGGGGGGGCCGTAATCAATTAAATCCCAAATTTTATTTCACATATAAACTTTTTTTAAAAAAACAGAAGACATAGGAGTATTGACTATCAATGTGCTTCAGTAATCAGGAAGTCTCATAAAGGAGCAAAAGAAAAAGTAAGACCCGTTACCCTGGTGCCAAGCTAAATTAACGCAACATTTATTTATTTATTTATATCAAATGGTAGGCGTTATGATAGTAATCATTAGCCCTATAGTTGACTTCAGGCTTCACAGAGGGGAAGGAAAATCGAAGTGAAAAAAGTCGAGAGAGGGGTGGGGGTGGAGGAAAGAGAAGAGTGGTCGTGACATAAATAGGGAGGAAGAGTCTCGTCAAGAAAAACTCCAAGGTCATCGCAAACGGGATAAATAAGTGTTAGTAACTTTGCCCAAGAAACCCAAAACAAGTGATTTTAATAATATCGATATTAGGGCTAGAGATGGGAAAACGGTTTGCACATAAGGCCTTTGCGCTAAACTGTAAACTGACTAGAGAAAAAAAATAACAAAATGACAGGTGTGCACGAAATGGACTTCAGTGCCTTATTTAACGCAATTACCAGGGCTCTACTTGGGAAAACAAATAAACCAGGTTTATTGCGAAATTACAAAAAAATAATCATTAATAGGACGTCACAGTGAGTGAAATGTTGCGAACTGTGCCAAGTTAAATGTAGCGGTGGTAGTATAAACCACTTTCTATAGACTGTAGGAATAATATAAGCGAATTAGGAGGTGGCATGGCCAATCAAGGAAATATATCAATCAGTGAAGGATATCTAAGCTAGTGGAGACTATTTCACTTATGAATCGTGAGTCAAGTAATTAAGATGGAGAATTATGCTAGCATATTTCAAATTCTTCCCTTTTGAAAGTAACGACAATTCAATGCTCCAAAGTTCCAATAAAGTGAGATTTGCCCCCCCCCCCCACCCCCCTTCCAAATTTATTACCGCGCCATTATTTTCGATTCCCTTCACTCCTATCTCACTTCTCATGGGAATCGCCCGTTATTTACTTTATTGCGAAACTTCCAAATATTCAAAATTTAGAAAAAAATCAGCCCTATAACAATAGGCCATTACGAAGAGAGAAGATCGAAAGCTTAGATACTGCTACTAAATAATAACAGCAATGGTGCATATTTACGCATAGATTAGAAAGATACTTTATGTAATTAACTCCACATTTATATGCGTCCATCCACTCTAGAATACAAATGGAATGGATCCTCGCAAATAGGCAAAATCAGGCTCAGAAGTTAACATTGAAAGAATAAGTAACAGATTGACTTGTGGAAACATCACAATAGCTAACAAAACGGTCGAAGAGATTGTGATATTCTGATGAAATTCGGGAAATCTGCAGAAGAAGAAGCGCATCTGCTGATCCTTTTGCAGTGGAGGAATTGAAGGCGCTTCAGCACAGTATACAATAAAGAGTTCAAGGAAATAGTATTTTTGTCTTTAAATTTCAGAATTCCCAAAGATTGGACAAAAAATCATGGGAAGAGAGTAATAAACTTCATTCAAGGTCAATGATATTTTGAAAATTGTAAATATTGACTCGTAAACAATGCACTTTTTGAAAATAAATTTCTACTCGAAGCACTGACTCCAAAATACTGACTCTAGAAACCTTATACTGGATGGGGGGGGGATATCTCTTCAGCCCTGAGTATCGAAATTTGTACCAAAATGAAAAAATAGAAAGTTGAGAGTTGACGAAGGTGCTGAGGTTAAAGAAAAGATTCAGTAAGCACGACTGAAGGTGTCTCATGACTAATTCAACTTCGTCGTTACCACCTCAAATGGCAAAAGACAGACAGGTGGACTCCACTTCGGCGATAAAGAGGTTCAAAGTGTGATAAACCTTCTTAAAGGTGGTCTGGTATTGCAAAGTCTTATTTGGGGGGGGGGATTTCATGGAAGTCACTGAAGAGGGACAAACAACTGCAAATGCAGACATTTATGGACGCACTAACTCCACTATAAAGAAGATCGGGATGGAAAAGCTATTTTCTTAAGAATGCTATTCAAATATTCTGCTAGAAAGTGTTAGGCTTACTCAACTTCGTAGAGAACCTTTGAAGAGATGCATATTCAACTTGGAAGTTGGAAGAGGTATTAGATTACGCAATACTCGGAAGTGTACAAAATATCGGCAGCATTTCGATAATTTGAGCTGAGTAGAAAACAAACGACAAAAAATCAAATCACACGCAGACAAAATTCACCTACGTTTTCAAAAAAATAGCATCGGCAGTACTAATTTCAGATAATAGGCATCTGTTGTCAGCTTAATTATAGGCATAAGAGGGATAATTATGGTAAGAAAAAGACCGGACTCAAAAACTATCTCATCTAGAAGACGAATTTAAGCATAGAGTCCTATTGGCGAAAATGAGGAGGGAAATCGTGAGTGCAAATGTCCCAATTACAATTAAAACATATTACCTCCAATGCTATTAGCTTGTAAACGATTACAAATGGTAATGCACGTTTGACAGGTGTGTTCTGTAACGCTTATTCCGATCTTTGAAGCAAAATTACCATGGTTTTTCATGGAAACAAAAAACGAATACAAGGAACAGATAAAATACAGACATGAAAGAAAGTATGTTGATTGAATGATCACTATTCGTTGTAAGTAGAATGAGATTAACTTTGGCAGAGTGCTTTTGATATGAGATGAAAATACAAAAAAAGTCATTCCCCAACTCCGGCTATTCGGTCATTGAGATAAAATCTACGTGAATATTCCATTAGGTGAACTATACACCCAAACACCGAAGTTCCAATAGAAGTTATTGTCAATTTCTAGTAGGAAATAGAATAGAATAGAATACAGTGGAACATTAAAGGACGAAATGTTCACTAAAGTGCATTGAATGGAATGGAACTTAATCATGCTGGTATGGATTCCAATTATAGCAGTGGGGAGAATGAACCCCACATAAAATCCACTCAGACACGACTGAACCCCTGCATTTAACAAGAAGTGCCAATGGACACAGAAAATCGGTAAAGAATTTACAACATTGTAAGACACTTATAAAACCATTTCCGTATATTTATTTGTTCAGGCGACTTTACAACAAAATTTGAATTAAAGCCACTCTACTATTTGAGTAGAAAAGAGAGCTCAATAGAATGAGCCCTCTGATTAATTATCCAAATACTCGCGAATAAGGTGGCATTAACTTACATCATGTGTTTCTGACGACAGGGCAATAAATCCTCCCCCATGAATGTGGATAAGAAGGTAAGGTGAAGGTTCCGCTTCAGAACGGGGACTTTCAGGTGGGCCGCAAGATGTTGGCGATGAGGACTTTGAAGGCGACTTTCGCAAGTTTGACCTGGTGGACTTGACCTCCTTACCTTGACGCAAGGCCCAGGTCATACCCTTTCGGCGAACCTTGCTAATTAGACGCACGGATATACCCTTGTCGCCAAGAGGTGGGTTTATTGTCACCATAGAGGAACGGCCATCAACTACAGAGAGAAAGTTAGTGTGATTAATCGAATCGCATAGAAGTGGCATGCATAAAAAAAGAGAGTATGCAAAATTGAATCTTATGGATGAATATGTAATCAAACATTTTATGCAGCAGAGACTACCGACAATCACCTTCACCTTATCCAAATTTAAGCAAGATATTAAGCAAATTTGCCGGGTCATCTGCTTTGATTAATCCCGCATTAAATAAGCACTTCAATTTGTGCTAAAGGTAAAATAAAGATCGATGTGGATAGCAATTTTTTTTTCTGAATAACAACTTCCAGGAGGAAAATCGTCAGCAGTATAAATGAATTAGTCATCGCCTGCAGCACAACAAAGTTCAGAGGACATATTTTTTAGAGCAAAGATAGAGATGTGCCTTTGCCAAATGCATCTTGTCGATAATTGAGTTTATTGAAACAACTTTCAGGTTTCTTATTCGGAAAATTAGTGTGCAGTCAAATGTCCCAATGAATATTCAAAGTTTATTCATGAAACGTAAAGCGACTAAAGTGGACGCACGTAGGCAAAAGAATAGGTTTCAGAATATAGCCTCATTGGTTGAATTTTAAGATTTCCCAAATCTCCCCAATTATCAAGACTGACTTATCCAGAAGACCTTGCATCAATTTACTCAATTTCTGCATTTGATGGGATATTTCTAGCATTCAAATGTGGTTTTAAATACTCATGTTGGGGAGATAGTGTCGAAGATGGAGAAACGCAAAACCTGCACACCTTGCTTATTGGGTGATCATTAATTGGTGAGGTTTGCCGTTTCGCTCATTGTGCGCACTGATGGCCAACTTCGCAAAACACCACACTAACCCCCCTCCCCCCCCATTCATAGTATGTTTCACTCAAGAGACTTTAAAAAGAGCAAATTAAGATCAAATTAAGATAATGAAACACTATCAGACATTTTTAAACAGAGATATTTTCCGTTTCTCCGGGATGAGAGGTCTTAAATTGCCCTAATTTCTCTCTACGAAATTGTAGATTAACTCATATTTAAGTGCAAAATAAGCAAGAAACCAACAACCCATCATCATCATTAGCTGGGACCGCAAGAAGTTAGATCAGAACAGAGGAACGAACATCCGTGGCAACCCAATAACCCGAAACTTTGTGTGTTGCCGAGAGACGAGGGGAGATAGGCATGAAAATGACCAAAATTTGAGACATTATGCACTCACAAAACATGATTCTTCACTGAGGGAAGAAATGCAAGTTGAGTCGGATTTAGTAAATGCGTCCAAAATTAGGAACAGTAAAGTGCCAAAACAGCAGAATTCTTAAGACTAGCCTTTCCCTTTTCTTCACTTTTATTACCCAAAACACAGTACTACGTGGCTCTGGTTAGTGGGGGGGGGGGGGGGGGGGCGTTAAGTAAATGAGGAGTTGCAAGTACACATTATTGGTGAGGGTTAAATCAAAATGAAATACCTGGTTCAGTTTCAAGCATCACCGGTTCATTGGGAAGATCGAAGGTGTGGCACACGCTAATCTGAGGAAGAAGGAGTTTGGGCATCTCAATGAGGAAGCGGTTTTCAGCAAGACTCCAAAAACGTTTGCAAAATAATACATCCGCGGAGCGAGTGATTTGGGCAATTCGAGAACCACGCTCCTCCGGGGAGAGGAAAGAGGTGACACTACGGAAGACAGCGTTCACGAATCCTGATATTCCTTGCATGGCACACTAGAATTAAATGTACAATGAGAACATTATAAAGCGATTTTAATAATTATAACATATATACGTATTCAACAATGAGTACAATGAACACTATACTATTCAGACAAGCGGAAGCATTGATACAAGCAGGAAGGAAATAATTCACTCATCATTGATTTCAATCTACTTCCTTTGATGGGAGTATTTCCTCTTATAGAGACTGCAATCAATATCGATGGCTGCTACAGCCATGACAATTCACCAAACCGAAAGATGATAAAGGAGTTAAGTCGGTGAAAGGAGACGCATTGAATACCACTAAAGACGAGAGCTCACATATAGACTCGTATATCCTCTCTCATTGACGATTCGCGAGTTACCGTAAGACCAACAACGGACACCAGACATTACGACTTACTTCGTAAATGCCCTAATTCATATTGTTTATCAGTTCCAATTACACTTTTTATTCCGCTATTCTTTCTGCCAAATGACACTCAAATAATTGGTTTTTTTCTGAACTGAATAAAGTTTTGCTGTTCATTGATAGATGGCAGACTCTTTTATCTCGTAAAATGGTTAGGAGAAGAGTTGTGTTTTCTTGCAGATATTTGTTTTAATCCACAATACAAATTTAAATGGAAGTTTCTTAATCTCAAGATCCTTTCAGCTAAGGTAAGATAAAAAGGAAATATGAGCGAATTTACGTAATCTACAGAAATACATATTCCCTCAAAGAACATCAAATTTGGACATGGAAGTGGGTAAGAGCATCAGTTGTCGCGTTAAAATTGTTGAAGATCTTGAGTCAGAGAAAATGTTAAAACTCACTATTTCAAATGCGAGAAAAGAATTAGTAGCTTTTGGATGGTAACCTTGTCTTGTGAAATCCAAAGAAATATGGAATTCAAGTTAATCGACAAGAAACTTAAGAACGAAAAATTACTAATAACAGTTTCAAAGAACATTAAAGCATAACCAATTTTGAACAGTATTGGAGGAAAACTACCTAATAAATACGTTAACAATCAGTGAAATTAAATTCCAATAACTTGGTTGCGAAATTGTATTCCTTTAAAAAAATATCATTAAAACTATCTCAATATTACACACGGGTTTAATAAGGTGAATGAAAAATTATTTTGGAGCAACACTTTAAAAGATGCATATTAGAATAATAAGACAATGATCACCTGATAGCTATCAGCAAAACCAGCCATGATGCTACCAAGCATTCGAAAGAGACTCTGCGCCGACGTGTCCAAATAAAATGCAATCGCGCGCCCATAGAAGGCATCTTGGTGAATCAGATCGAAGAAATCAACCAATTCGTTGTAGCGGGAGGGAGATGTGGAGGGAGCATCAAATGTCTCTGGTTTGTAAATGTCCACTAGGAGTTTGGAGATGAGTAGAGGGGGGCCGAGATTGTCATGACTTGAAAGGGAAGCAATGGGCAAATTGGCATAGGCAAGTTGGGGAAAAAGAGTGTTAGGAGTAGCGGAGAATTTTGGAAATTCACAGAGTAGAAGGATACAGAAGGCTAGTTCTTCAAGGCATCGCAAGTAAGCAATAAGGGACTCCGCTGTAGTCTTTGGCCTGAAATAAGCAAGAATATTAACAGACAAAATAAAAAATTGTAACAGGAAAATAAAACCGCAAGTACCAAACAGAGAAGGTCTTCCTATCCAAATTGCGAAGATGAACTAGTATCTTGGCCAAACAACACGAAATGATTGAGAGGAAAGTCCTAAATCCATTTGCTCGAATATCTCGAAAGTCATAATTTCCGGCAAATGAATACATATTTTTAATCTGGATGATAAAATCAGTTTCACTGAGTAACTGATGAACTTCAGTTAGGTGTTGATGAAGTTCAGCAGTAATAGATGATTTGAGGAAATAATTGGGGCTTGAGGCTACTTCCGCATTTTGATAGACTGTGCGACACTAAAGTACAATGTAAAATTACGGTAGCACTTACCGCCTCTTTGACTTGAAAGCAGAGGTCAATGAGGTTTTCACAGTCAATTCTATCAAGCGACTGTTTGGATTGATAAGAAAGACCTAAAACTTGGTCAGGTTTACCGAAACTTACAACTGGGTTCGCTTACTGATCCCGATATTGTCATTTTATATCTAGTCGGTCTGGTCTAGCAAAGACGAATATTACTTAGCAACAAGTAATATTTACAAAGTAAACTGCAGTTGAGAGAAGCCTGCTTAAGCCTTTAAGCTGATGTTTAATTAAATAGTATTTTACGCAACGAAAAGATAGCATACACCAAGGCAGCGGCAGATAATACACAAAACTGCAAGAAGCCAACAGCTGATGTTTTCAAAGACCGCAGCCTCTGGCGTTCTTCAAGGTCAGATTTGTTTTTTCGATTTCTCATTATTCCACAGAACTGCAAAGTTAAATATAAAAGTGTAAGTTAAAGATAATATTTTTTAACCTTTGTCACTAATTTATTATATTAATTTTTAATGTTTAAATATTTCCAATACGGCTTATATATTTACAAATTTTCTCGCAGTGCCGGTCCCTCATTTACTTTAATAAACTTTTGTAATTATAAACGGAAACTGAAGTTACATTATTTCGTTTTCTTAAATTATTCAATTATATTCTATATTGAGTATCATGATATTGGTATCTTCTATGCTACCTTCTTGACAAAAGGAGCCAATTTCATTATCACTGATTTTTAAAATTTTCTTATATCTTAAAGTGCATGGTAGCTAATTAAACCTTAAAACAAGTCTCAACTTGCCACAATTGCAATTTAAAGTATTATGAATAGATTTTTAAGGTTATCATTAGCTAGAGAATTTGTATTTGATCAATAAATATATCGTGCTTTAGCTTTTTGGTTTTCATATTGCAATGGAATTAATCTTTATTTTTTTAATAGTTTTCTATTGCCGATTTTTCATTAGTTGCATTATTCTCATGTTTAGAAATTGTTGCTGACAATTTATTCGTTGAAAATTGCCTCATTACTACTTAGTACTAATGGAATTCTCCACAAATTTTATTTCTCTTCTGCTCTTTAACCGGATTATTGATATCGAATGTTGCATTCAATCGTAATATTTTGAGGTTTTGACCTTATTTTTTCCCAAAATGCATTCTTGTCAAGAGGCACAAATTCATATTATTAAATTCATTTCATATTAAGAAGAATGCCATATCTGATCAATGAATATACAGTTCTTCTTGTTCGAAAAAGTCTGAAGAAAAAGGATGTGAGCGGATGCTACTAATCTCTGAGCAAGTTCATTTCAAACAAAATGCCAGTTTCCTGCATACAAATCTGAGTCCGAATTATTCGGCTATACTAGGGCAGCTTCTAAGGGAAGAGGCAATATGGAACAACATCTATTTCTCATACCTGGATAAATGGAATTAATAATGCTATGAAGACTCTGCTGGGAGCACAACATTAACATGGAAAGCAATTTAATTTTTGAATTACAAAGACGACTACTAACTAACCCCCCACCGTTCGCCATAGGCATTTTTTACATGACAGTAAGAAGATGCTTCAAAGACTCCGCCAAATCTGGCCATTAGTAGCTTGGCATCAACCTTCCATCCGGAGACATTGGTATTCTTTTTAGATTCAGTAGTTAAGAGGGGGGGGTGAGTTGGAATCTGTATCATCTCAATCTATCAGCCGGTCACTTAATTCCGCAGATATTTCGGTTGGAAGTAAAGGTGTGGGTGATCCCAGCTAAAACTAAACCAGTTGAGTAAAACGTGGAACATCCACAAGGTATTGTCGTTCAACCTGTCAATTCAACAAAAAATAGACCACGGAGAATAAAATATCACAAATCACAACACCTACTCTAGCATTTAAACTTAGAATTTAACTGACAGTGTAAAATGATTATTCAAATCGTCGAAAAGCCTTAGGTACTAACAATTTGAGCACATTGAATTCAACTGCATTTAAAGTGTTGAAAGGACTGCAAGGGGTCACTGTACAAGTAAGCTCTCACAAGATCTAAATGACCCTTTCTGGAAAATGCTCACAAATAAGCCTGCTAAGTTATCTCAACGGTATCGCAGTATAGCATTTATTGCAGACAATGCTCATGGCAACCACGAGTAATATTGAAACACGGCCAACGTAGCCTGAATGAAATTAGTAGCTGATTAGTTGAGAAGGCCTCTGCACGTACGACTTCGTCCTCCAGAATGTTTGAAGGCGCATAAGATTGCTTAGTTTAATAGTGGGAGGATGGGGTGTGCGATAGACTTACCTCCACGTGGTGCACCCTGGGCAACGTATAATCACACGGCAGAAAGTCTATTAACTGGCAGCTGACTTCTCTTCGTCTACTTCCACAGTACTAACCTCACCTTTTTGCTACCTTTGTGTCTGTCTCTTTTACATCTTTGAAACATTCTTCTGTTTCCCCCACCCTCTTGACTTTTTTTCACTTTGATATTCCTCCTCCTCCTCTCTGTGAAGCCTGAAGTCAGCTATGAGGCTAATGATAACTAACAAAACGCCTGCCATTTGATAAAAATAAATAAATAAATAAGTGATAGTGGGAGGACTGTGTACTCCACAGGGAATCGCATTAAATATGCTGGAACGCTTTCCTTATAATATTGGAATACTCATTCCATGATACTGCAAACAGTAAGACAATAAGTAAAAAAGAACAGTTTATTAGTATTACTCATTCATTTTTTAACTAATTAAGGTTTACAAATCTACAAGATGGCATTGTTAAAATGGCGATTACTTCTGTTTATCATTCGGGTCAGACTTTTTAAATAGAGCCTGTTGAATCTAAAGAAAACGAAAATAATGTGTAAATCCAAATTTCATCTCAAGATTACATTAAACATTTGATTCGGACGGGGTTATGTAGCACATACCACCGTACCGAAATTTCAAAGTACATTGTCATTTACCTCTTCGCAGTTCTTTGTAGCCTCATTCAAGATGCGTAAAGTGGAGGGCTGGCAGAAGCTCTTCAAGTCTGTTGGAGATTCTTCCATTGCAGCTTTCAAGAGTCCAACGACGACTTCTGAAGAAGCACTTGAGCGAGCAGACATTGCTAGAAAATGACAAGAAAAAGATCTGAGAACCCTCTAAAGCAATTAACATAAGCGTGCATCTGCAAATGGACAATATCAAGGATACAAATCGAACAAAGGATAAAATATGATGCAATTAAATTAAGTGGGTGCTCTCAAGCCTTGCAATCGGTCTCCTTCTTAGGATTTCAATGGCAACGTTTTGTCCTGAAGGCTCTATTGCAAAGGTAAAACTAGGACGGAAGTAATCTCGTGCGCAGACCCCCAGGAAAATAAGCACTCAACAATTGTGGAACTTAGAGTTAATTGCACTAAATCTTTAAGCATTCTTGCAATAAACTCTCTCCAATCGAAACCTTCAGTTTTTTACTACTATAGACACAGCCCTAGTTAATTTTGGGGCAAGTTATACCAAACGACTCAACAAGAGGTTTATTTGTGAAATAGCCGCTACAGTGCCTACTTTCTCCTCATTTTGCACTTAGCAGACCAGTCCTGATTTTGTTATGATCTCAAGAAACCTAGTGTTCAGTAGTAAATTTAAAAGAGTGGTTCATTTCTTGCGTACACCCTTGTATATAAACAGAATTAAGTAAAATAAATGCTAAATAATATTTCTTCAGGACGGAGGTAAATAAAAACACCAAGACAAATGTTTACCATAGAGTCGATTCTACATTAAGGTGGGGGGGGGGGGGGGGGTAAATGCTACGCTATAACCAGTACTTTACGCCGGCCAATAACGAACTAAGAGGTAAAACGAAGGATGGGCGGCCAAATTAATTAAATCAATTAGGAAATGAGATTCGAAATGCTTTGGCCAAAACGAAGATCGTAGAATCACTCTGTGCGAAATATCACCATTTACAGACATAGGGAAATAAAGAGAACTATATAATGCGGAAAGCCGCAAACATTCAACTCTGCTGACAGAAGAGTAGAAATGGTAACAATTACTCCAATTTAGACAATAAAGCGAAATCCAAAATATAGGATTTATGAATAGAATTTATACGACAAAAATTCAGTTTACACTCACAGTGCGCGCTTAAGCGAGCAACTACTCTGACATTACAAAAATCTCATTTCTCTGCTTAAACCATCACGTCTTTCTTAGTTTGCACCCAATAATGTCAATTCGTGACGAATCAACTTAGCTTATAAATCCTATGGTGTAGTACTACCCCTTTGGTAGATGTAACATAAAAAAGAATGGAAGGAAAAGTGGTGCGTAATAAAAGAGCATAGACACTTTGTAAATGACTAACCTGCATTGCGAAGACTAGCGTCCACAAAGGCTGCGAGATGTTCAGGATCTGTGGCTTTGAGATATTGGAAGGAATTGTGATAACTTGATTTGTTCAAAGGATGATTGAGACTCCCTGCCAGGTAGTTGAAGGGAAGAGGACCAGATTTCTAGATTAATTGATGAGAATGTAGGCTGAGGTAAAGAATATCGTGTTCCAGATAATCAATTAAGGAAAGAATATAAAACTGGATACCTCAATAATGGGAGACGCCTTATCAAGGAGACCACGATGAACTAAAGAAGCGGCCAGTTGAAGTCGTAGAATGGATTGGAAACGTTCCAGAGTGTTCCCGATGACGTCCAAAGCTAAAAATAATAGAAAAGGAAAGAGAATGTGTTTTTATTCCCAATACTACTTATTTCTTGATTAATAGTTACTGAAAATGAAGGGCTAAGGACTTAATGGTATTTGTTTGTTAATTAAATAAGAAAGCATAGATAAGCGCTAATTCAACCACTTTGATTTAATTTCTAAAATTATGGCTCAAACATCATTCGCCCTAGTAAATACAAATATGCTTGGACCTTTTTATGGCATTAATATATTACCATCATTAATGCGGAGCTCAGGCCAAGAATGAAAGAGGGTAGATACATGCGGCCCGTTCATGCACAGAGTCAAGCTTTGGGACGGATAAGCTTTTAGTTCCTCCACCAAGCTAACGAATTGCTCATTGCTGCTAGCAGCTTCCCCGGAAGTGTTAAGCCTGAAGAGAAGGGGAGATTAGCTATCACTGAAGCATGCATAACAGTAGATAAGAAAGTGACCATACTTAAGAAGAGAGCACAGCGTCTTAAACGGAACACGACGATCACGGAGTTCTGTTGTCAAGCTCCCAACGACTTGTTCAACTGATTCATTGGCTTTTAGCTCAACCAAATGACAAAGAAGAAGGTCAATTCCTGTTAAGATAAAGGACAAAACAAGATAAATGTGAGTTAGAAGGGAATATTTCATGAAAGTTGGGCTGATTAAAGGAAAAGGAACTTACGTCCAGGCCCCCAGAGTTTTCGTACAACATCAATAAGAACCGTGACATTCTCAGGCGCTAATTTATTGCTGGAATTGAGAAAAAATAAATTATTCGGCCGAAAGGAAAACCACAGGAGAGGAGTTACAATAAAACGAAATTATTGGGAAGTGCATATCGGATTAAAGACGGGGTGTGTGATACACTTAATTCCATATGGTGCACACTAGACAATGTGTACTCATAAGGCAAAAAGTCTGTAAACCGGCAGTTGACCTCCGACTTCAAACTACCATGACCCGACTCCATGTCATATTTGACCACTTCCACAGTACTCACTTCACATTTTCTCTACCTTTGTGTCTGCCTGTCTCCTTTACATCTGTGAATCACACTTCTTTCCCCCTCTCCACTTTTTGTGACTTTGATGCTCCTCCCCTCTGTGAAGCCCGAAGTCAGCTAAGGGGCTAATGAGATAAGTGTCAGAAAACCTGCCATTTGGTGTAAATAAATATCGGATTAAAAACATGGGGGGTGGGAAGATCAATTTTTCAAGCAAATTGAAACGAACCCTCATGAATAAGAAAGAAACAGGCATTCTTCGCTTCACAATAGCCGATTGACAGTGAGGCAAACAAGATTGATATAAAAGAAATGCAATGAACAAAACTATATTTTATATTCCCTGTTTTAATACTTTAATATAGCCATTATTTTGGCAATTATGGTCCGAACAATACCAGACGTATAGATTCTAAAGCATACTTCGAAGGAGGCCAAACATCTTGACGCTCACCAATACCACTGATGCGGATGAATGCTAACCAAATGACGAAATTCTCCACCGAAAATGTAAAATAAACATGAGAAAACCCTAATGTTGGCGAAAGCTGCTAAGCCGATACAAAAGAAAATAGTGGTTTTCAACAAACCTATAGCGCATTACCTAGCAAGAATATTGGCCAGATGTGTAACTGACTCCTTAGCCAAACGAACTGGGTCGGAGATGTCTGGGGTGATTCCACGATCAAATTTAAGGGAGAGCGACTCAATCTTTGGTGTTTCGCGGAATTGCACTAAAAGTAAATAAAGCGAAATCAATTTACTACAACCAGAGGGGCGGAGGGAGAGGGGGGGGGGCGGATTTGGCATAAAGATGAAAACATACCAACTGGGGTGGTCAACTCGCCAAAATGATGGAAAGAAATAGCCATGTGGGAAACAGGATCCACATCGATTTGACTAAAAGATAACAAAAAAGAAGCGCAATTAAACGCATCCTCCCAAATGTAAAATGCGTGTTAATAGAAAACTAATTATTTGAATGAAAAGGAAATAAAATTTTTATTAGGATCGGGAATCAAAAGCTTCCCCCCCCCCCCCTAGTCATCATATTAGGAACATGTTTTACATTTCTCAGTTGAGGTAATTAATTTAGTTCACAGGCACAATCAAAACGATTAGTTAATACTCGTACTATAAATACGAGATGGGTGACAAGAAAGCTCTAGAGATTACAATTATCAACTAGAGAAAATACGAATATGAAGGCGACGTTCTTGAAAGCTAAAGGCATGTCAGGAACAAAAGGCGCAATTTTGAACTTTTTGTCCAAAACATCTCTATGTCATTTGAGAATTTTGCTGTTGATAGAGATTAAGCTTTGACTGAGTTGAATTCTCGCGCACGCAACTCTTAAACTCGCTCAAATACACTTTGCAGCAAGCACATTTTTGAATTTGCGGAGATCATTGAGCCGTGCTTCCTCGACGTGATAATGGTTTGCCACTAGAGTTCCAATTACAACTTTAATAGCAAATATATTGATACGAATTGAAAAGGCAACGATTTCTCCTCCCTAATTGAATAAGGGTAGACAACAAACGGTCAAATATACTAATCGAATATAAGATTTATTGACTGCCTGCTCAGGAAAAAAAAACATTAAATAAGAATCGTGTTTCAATGAAATTTTTTCCCACTTTAATCTGCTTCGATATAACACTCGTATATAACATATGGTTGCACCCTAACAGAGTAAAAGTAACCATGGAAAAATCATTTCGAAAAGGATTTCACTAAAATACCTTTGCATTTAGTAAAAAATTGACGGTTATTAAAATTGCACTTTTTGAACACACACCAAACCATTTACTACCATTAGTTGGGTTGCTTGTGAGTAAATTTGGATGGGGGGGGGGGTCTTTTAAAGACAATAAGAAAACCAGTTTTACCGATAGATATCGACCAGTCCCGTGAATGCAGTTCCTAGTCCTCTAAAGAGGAAAGATAGAGATGGTTTGACACAGACCTCAAGCAAATCAGCATTTCGATTATTAGCAGCAGAGAAGAGGAGTCCAATTGCATCTTTCAAAGAGAAGCAACAAAATTAGCAACAAAGCACTTAAGTTATCAAAAAAAGCAATTTGAAAAAATCGACTTACTTCGATATCCGCCAGTGAGAAACTGAGAGTACATGATAGATTTGGCAGCATCTTTCAGTTTGGATGGATGTGATTCTTGGATCCTTAAGATGGCGCATAAAAAGGGAAAAGTCAACTTACATAGTTAGAGCCTCATAGAGAGCATGACTTTTGTTCAGTCGAGTAGCTTGAATAATAGATTCTCGAAGATCAACATGAGCAGAACCAGGGAAAATCGATTGGAGATAGTCTAATCCAGTTGCAAAACCAGCCTAAATATTAAGAACACATGGTATTAGATCGCATCGAGGTGACTGACACATAATAGTCAAACTGCAAAAACAGTTTGACTATTAGACAGAGGTGCATTAATTCTCCCACCTCAAATAAGTAGAAAGATTTAATCAATGGAAATCCCATTCCCTGGGTAAGCATCGCTGTGGACCAAGTCGTGACTTGACTTGGAAGACAAGCAAGCTAACTACTAGGAATAACTAGAACAAAACCAATTACCAGCTAAATGAGACCGTTTCGACCGTTCTTGTGAGTCATGAAAAACACTAGTTGAGTTTAATCAATATTTCTTACCCCTATATTACCAATTTTCTAAGTCGATTTGCAATTCATATGCTGGCATATGGCTAACAAAGAACGTGCAAAGTTAGACAAGAGTCTATATCAAAACGCTGTGGAATATTTAGCTGCTGAACTATCACACATGCGTGGCAGTTCATTACAGGTTCACGTGCAAACAAGGTACCTCAGAGCCTCCACAATTGAGAAACCAACATCCTATCATTGACCGTATTATTAAACACTGACCATTCTCACTTCTCCGTTTACCAGAGGTGTTTAATGACCTTAGTCTTCGATTATTATAAATGGAATACTTGCCGTCAAAATACGATTTGAAGAACGATGCTTAAGGTAGGCGCGAAGGAAGACTTGATTAGAGATAGAGATACGGTCTTTCAAGCAATCAGCCTTTGTCTTCTCATCCTCAAGCATGTTAGGCTTTCCTGCAATTTCAAGAAGGCCTAATATGAGACGCAGAGAGGCATTAGAAGTCTCTGAAAAGAGATAAAATACCATTTTACGGGAAGCTTTTAAAACACGCACAATCAAGAATGAAAACCAACGCACGAGCAATATCAAATGCATGATTAATAAAAGCGATCTTGTTATCCAGTGGCTTGTCTCTTAACGCCTCCGCGACAAGAGGAATAAAGTTGGGCTAAAGGAAACAAAACAAATAAAATACCCTACTACTGAATCATATTAAGTAAAGGAGACAACCCACTCGACAATTGACGAATTCGGCGAGCACAGGGATGGCATCATTGCTAAGTTTATCAATGATGTTCTAGCAAGGAAAGTTGATTAGATTTTTATTTCTAAAATGAGCACATACCCTTGCTTGATCAAAATCCTTATTAAGCAGAGCTTGGGCGAGAATTGGAAGATCCCCTTTGTTAATGGTTTCGAAGTTTTTAATAACTGAAAACATTTTCAAATAACTGTTAATTGATTGTTGCCACTAGAGGTGAAATATATGATATAATGATTTACCAGCTTGTTGTTGCTCAGGTGTCATAAGAGTAAGAGCTGGACTAGTAGCAATTTCGAATTGCAACTGTGGACGTTGAATAAGGAGTTGAACAAACTTTTCGCTAGATCTGTGAAAGAAAAAAAGACAAAATTCTATTACGAACCAAATGGCTACCATCTCAAATTTCTCATCGGAACGAGTCACTTTAATGCAAATAGATAGCAAAATATCAATCATGGCCAAATTAAAAACAAGGAGTCTGCTTCGACACATAGCAGGGGCAAAAATACCTAAAAGTTAATGTCTTATTGGGAAGTTGAAAACAATGACTGTTTGGGCATATTTTCATTAAAAAATGTCCTTAACAGAAGGAGATAATTTAGGACACACACTTAGTCCTATAAAAACAGGCAATAGGGAAAAAGGTATATTGAAAAATAGAGAAATTTGAGGTCTAATAAGGCAAGATAGCAGCATTCTTAGCTGATTGATGTAAACACACAAATCATCTTTTTACATAGCGGAGTGTGCGATAGACTTACCTCCATGTGGTGCACTCTGGGCAACGTATACTCACATACGACAAAGTCTATTAACTGGCAGTTGACTTCTGAGTTCAAACTACCATGACCCGACTGTATGTCATATTTGATCCCTTCCACAGTACTCATCTCACCTTTTCTCTGCCTTTGTCTGTCTCTTTTACCTCTGTGAATCTTTATTCTGTCCCTCCCTCTAGCCTTTTTGTCACTTTGATGTTCCTCCTAATCTCTGCGAAACCTGAAGTCAACTAAAGGGCTAATGATAACTATCAAAACGCCTCCTGATAACTATCAAAACGCCTGTCATTTCTGCTTCTTTGATGAACCTTCCCTCTGTAAAGCCCGAACTATGCTACTTTGATGAACCTTCCCTCTGTGAAGCCCGTAGCACTAAAGGGCTAATGATAACTATCAAAACGCCTGCCATTTTATATAAATAAATAAACTTTTTCACATCTTTAATAAGACGAAAAACTAAATTTTAGATTCAAATTAAACAGAAAAGACCAAGAACAACACCACAAATTCAGCAACTAACTTTTTCGATGCCAGGGCACCACAGCAGAGAGCGGCAATCTTATCTGTTCTCAAGAGACAAGAAATCCACGAGAGAACTGCCGCCTCATGTCCCTCCGTGATAAGACCATTCGCAATACGAGCCAGGTTTTCAGGCGAAGTAATACGAGATCCTGCTGAATCAAGAGCTTGACTAACAGCCGACCAGAAGGCAAACTGTGCCTGCTTGAAGGCAGCCGGTCTCATAGTTTGGGCAATATCTGAGGAATCCGTTACAAAGGAATGTTCAGCAAGGGCCTTTGTGACATCGTTGACTGCTGCAAGCATGGTAGCTTCGTCCACAGTCTGGTTGGAATTGACCATAGTGATAGCATCACGAATTCGTGGAATCAAGCCGGCTAGACTGACACCCCCACGAATCACCAAGCGTTCTGGGGCTAAAAGGTCGATTGGAATGCGGGGAACGGCGTTCATTAAAACATGAGAGGCGAGGAGAGTTTCTGTAGTTTGTGGAAGAAGAGTAAGACCAATTTGCCAGGCCCAGTTACGAAGTGCATATGCAGCGAAGATATGATTGTTTAGACCTGGAAGAAACGGAAGAAACGATTATATGGGAGGATTTGAGATAGGTGTACAACAAGAATATGATTTGCCCAAACTGTTCTTTGGTAACGGAGGTAGGAAAGGCTACGCTACGGAGTTTTATAACCCTACACAATACGAGATGGGAGTTTTATTTTATGAAACAAAAAAAAAGATTAGTGAAATTCGTTTTAGGAAGCAACTATACGTTCTTGAAAAGCGAAAAACCGCGATTTACTTTCAAAAGCTTTCGAAGTTAAGTCATAATGGTCCGCAATAATTCAAGCCTGGAATTATTTAAGGATACTAACTTCCCAGTTCCAGGAAACCTTTAATATAATTCCAATATATTGAAATCTATACATCTCGAGCAGTGCATCTATAGTTCAGTTCTTATCTGGTCTGGTGATTTAATTCTAAAGTAATAGACAACTACTTACACCAATAGAAAACTAGTTTCAAAGATAAAATAAACGCCAATCTGCTCCTAGACTTTCGATATGGACTACCACTCGAGAATTAGGTCAACAAATTATGTATATTAGACGAAAAGTAAAAATATGAAAATAGCCACATTTTTATGTCCAGCCTTTATTGTTTAAGTCTCTCCAATGCCTTTCTTTACTCTTTAATACGTCGTAAGTAGCAAAAGTAAAAAGATATCGCATAATGAGTAAAAAGATTAGGAAACTTACACAGGTCTTCAACAGCACTATGGACACTTCTAACTTTGCGTAGGTGGTTGAAGGTTTCAAGACGTGCAGGGAGGAGCTAAAGGAGAGCGAGAGAGACATTGCGAATATGATGAAAGGAAGTAGCAGACGAGAGAAACTAGAAGATAGTTATGCAAACCTTGATGCCCAAATGAGAGGGAGGTGCCATGTCGCCGCCATTTTCCGAACCGACTTGGCACAATTCGTAGTTATAGGCCCCCAGAACCATAGAGGAAATACTGACGTTGGGTTTTTGCAAAACTGAAAAGAAAAAACAAGCAAACTAATATGTATTTTTCTCAAGTATGGAAAAGCTTGACACTACTTTGAAGCTACTAACTTTTAGAGTATGAAACTCAAGATCTGTTTCATTTGCAGGGAATTTTGACTAAAACAAATACCTTTATGAGTCAAGGTATCGACAAGGGGGCGAACCAGAACGAAAATTAACTAGTGGCCATTCGAAAACTTACACTGCAAGTCTGATTTCTGTTGGCTCAAGGAGAAAAAAGACATCAGCTACACACTTTTAAGTAATGAATGCTATCAGAAATTGAGATAAAAAACAGACTAGGAGTTTTAGGCGTATCGACCTATGAATTAAAACAACGCCAAACAGTACTGTTCAACTCGAATAGAAAGAAAGAGTTCCAAGTTGACAAAACAAATAAATTTCCCGAGCACAAAAAAGGTACTGGGCTCTAGGCACCGTCATATTACGTGTTAGCAGCTTACTACTAACAACTATTATTTTAGATGTATAAGCAGAAAACGCCGTAATTCAGAGTATATTTCACCTTCTTCCATAATTTGGCCAGCTCTTGCAGCGTCCAGTTCCACAATTTTGCTGATAAACCATCGAGAAAGAATTACAGACAAGTGTTGAGGACATTGGTCTGCCATCCTATTCATAAATTTAACAAGACCCTCCAAGTCACGCCTACAAAAGAGAAAAAAGGTTAACAGACTGCGCGAAATATGCTGAAACCTTACATGATTTAAAACACGAACCCATTGAGATAGAGTTCACCGATCTTTGCAGCAGAGAACTTGGGACTCTTGACACCGGAGACACTCAGGAGAGCCCAGAAGAGATTCTCCATTTGTTGGGGTGTAAAATGTTGGGGCGCTGGGGTCACCTTCTTCCCTTCGGCTCCTGCAACGGGTGTGGAAACGGCGAAAGCTTCACCGAGTATATCAGTATCAAATTGATCGATGGGACCGAGGGCACTGGTCTCCTGCGAGATAGATTTTTGCATTTGCATCAGTTCTTCAGTCACATCTTTGGAACGGTAAATATTAGAATATATATAAGGGAAAAGTGCGTTTGAAGGGCAGCTTGAGATGATATAAGTATTAAAATTACCATCAATCGCTCCAGCTTGAATCTTGCTTACAAAAACGGCGTGCTTGGACCTACGGAATAAGAAAATGTGTGAAAATCTCTTTTAAATTCACTTTCAAATGAGTTATCATCACAACCGTTCCATGACTCCTCCCCCCAACCAAAATTAAATGTTATTACTTCTTAACAGTAGGGATGTGCGATAGACTTACCTCCACATGGTGCACCCTGGGCAGCGGTAAAAGTCTATAAACCGACAGTCGATTTCTCACTTCAAATTACCATGATTCCCCTGTAATGCGTGCTCGACCACCTCCACAGTAGTCACCTCACATACCCATATTCTCTACCTTTGAGTCCCTCTCTTTACATCTGTAAATCTCCTCTGCTCCCCCCCAATCCACATTTTGAGACTTTGTCTGCTGTTCCTTCCCTCCGTGAAGTCCGAAATCAGCTAAAGGGCTAATGATGACTATCAAAATGCCTGCCATTTGATAAAAATAAACTTCTTAAAGAGTTCGTGAAAATCTTGAACATCTAAATAGACAACTGAAAACACCAAATCTGCAGTTACATATAAACCGTAGTAGAATTTTGATCATACGCATGGAAATACCTTGAAAATTGAAAACACAAATTAGTAAAGATTATGAATGCACTTACATAGTCCCCGCGGGTATCAAACATTTGAAATTTTCCTGAAAAAAAGGAAAAAGTGCACCAGATTAACCAGCGTGGGTCGAAATTCAAGCCAAGCTTACCTCTGGAAGACCAAGATTTTTGAGCGACTTTTTAACCAAATCCAGATAGGAAATCGGGATTTTCTACAGATAATACCAAATTAGAACTCTTTTAATATCGAACTTCGCTAAAGTGTATCAGTAAATTTAAGTCAACTACGTACCTTTTTATCAAAGTACTGCACAACGGTCCTGGCAAGAGACAAATTCGTTGTCTTATCAATAGCGGAGTTAGCTTGACCTGATGAAGATTCACTAGGTAATTCCTGTTGATTTTGACCGAAGAATCGAAGCAAAGCACCAGCCAAGAGAGGGCGACGTTCATGAGGAAAACAAGAGAAGAGGGCATCCATCCAGGCATCAACTTTGCTAGTATTCAACTCCTTTCCACCCCCTTCAGCATAATGACGGAAACCACGGAGCTAAAATAAGCACATGCAAGAATCTCAACCACTGAGTGGCAATAACTTGACATTAAGAATAAACAAATACTATACCAGAAGGAAGATCAAGTTGCTGTTGACAGAAAGGTATTTACTGAAAGGAAGCAGACCCTGCTTTTGATATTCCTCAATGAGTATATTGGCGTTTTCCAGGCTATGGCCAGATTGTGGAGGATTATAAAAGCTTTTAAATGCACAGAGATCACTAAGAACTATACCGAGCGCTGCACTAGATCTTAAAGGAGGCTGAAACAACGAAAAAACACTATTATACCCTAATAGACTTTAGGAGATAAAAAAGCAAGAGATCTACCTCAAATTTTGCCAAGATCTCTTCTGGTTTCAAACCAAGACTCAGGAGTCTAGGAACAACACTAAGGTAGAGAAGATGTGGTTTGTGGACTCCAAGGATTTTTCCGAGTTCCACGACCGCTGTAACAAGGATTTTATTTATTAATACAGAGATCACGAGATTACTTCCAAATCAGCCAATTTTCGACAAACTTACAATCAATATCTTTGAACCTGACGGCCTTCATCACGGCGATGTTTGCAACAGAATTGTATGTATCAGTTCGAAGAGGTGGATTAGCACGCATGGTACGGAATATGTTCTCTGAAAATAGCAAATAACAGTTTAAATAATAGAAAAAAGGTATAAGATTAATCAATAAAGAAACTTAAATGTACCCATAGTCATATAGCGGATAATTTCAGGTAGTCGACTGATAGCACCAGAGGCAACCCAAAAGTCGTTTAAAACATTGGAGTCCTATACAAAAGAAGAGTTATTTAAAAATAAAATACTAGTTATCAAAATCCACAAACTAAATTCCACAACTATTGATGCAGGGTTGAATCATAATACCATTTAGTTATACAATCGGTTACCCTTCGAGTACCAGACATAAAATAAAATAAAGTATTCCTTTCGATTCCGCTATCGAAACCATTAAATAGCAAAATACCTACGACAGTAAATTTTATTTCCTCTCAATAAAACTAGAAACACAAACAATCATTAATAATCAAACCAAGAAAAGATGCAACTAGATAGAATGATTGAGAAAATATACCTGCTTAGCCAAGATTTCAGGAATCCTAGTGAGAAAGTACGTGGAAAAATTAAGCGGACGAGTGTTCCTCAGTAATTGGAGGGCCGACTCAATTTTACCTTCTTGCAAAAGACGAGTGAGAGCATTTCCAAGTCGGAAATCATCAAAACTTGGAGGCCTTTTCTTTAGAAGGTCAAGAATCTAATCAAACGAATTAGTTTAAGTTAGTTATCAACAGAACGGAACATTCTTGCCAAAAACTAGATGTCTACCTTCACGAAGGCTTCTTCGTCTGATTCAGCTTGAGACATTGAGAGACGAACATACAAGTCAGCTAGGAAACGCGGTGAGAAGACAGGAACATTCGCAAGGTCTTCCGATTTGTTGAGAGTTTCCTGAATTAGCTCAATGACACTATTCCCGTCACCAAGATCAGCGTAAGCAAGCAACAGATCCTCGGTAGCCTTCGTAGAAGGCCAGTAGTTCAACTTCGACATGACATCTTGAGTGACAGCTACTTCATCTGGCAAACTATCAAGAATAAAGGCAAAACTTAGTAAAGGATTAGTTGAGGAACAAGAATATAGGTATGACAACGACTATAACAAACCCGCATTTGACATAACCATGGAGGATTTTGGAGAAAATATAGTCATTAGGGACAGCTCCCGCCTGATGCATAGCCTTAAGATAGTGACCTGTTTCCTCCATATCACCCCTCTCACAAGATCTCTTGATGAACACAGAGAAGAACGTCTAGAAAAAATAAAGCTAGCAAATTAGTATCCTTACCGCGTCCGGTTTTAGTCCGAGCTCTCGAAGATCCGCCATAGCACTTTCATAGGAAGTCTCAAAGCCGAATTCGTTTTTTAAATTGAGGAAACGTGCGATAGTCTGGACCATAACACCTTTGTCTAAACGAAATCATAGAAAATTTATTTAAACGTACCTGTAATAATCTTTTTCCAAAGGTCATTGAAAAACTCCTTTTGTTGCTCCCTACTCATTAATCTTATATTAAGTCGATGACGCTCAGCCATTTGAACATGATCGAATGCACTTTTAGCCTCAGAATTTCCCAAAGAAGTTCTTCTTTCATTATTAACTAATTGTGTAGAAAATCCACGTTGCAAAGTTTTTAGAGGTCCACTATAGTCAAACAGACGATGTCTATTTGTAGGAATATGAAATAGTTTAGACCTAGAAACCCTTGTCAAAGCAGCGACCGTGAAAAATTGACGCAAAAACACCATCGCAGAGAGTGAACAAGGCGTGGATTGGGGATTGTATTGATTCAACTCCAACAGAATACTTAAACTGCATTAGTTTTATATTGGAAATAGGATAGATTTTTTGGCTTGAATTAATTTATTTTATATTATTTATTAAAGACCATAATTCATACGGTTACGTTATTTTTCTTTATTTTCAAAGTTTACTTGCAAACTAAAATTGCATTGACTATCCAAAGACTGCTAGATTTACTCTATTTATTAAGTCAACTTAAAAGTAATAGTATTTAAAAATATACAAAAAATCATAAATAATTTTTTTGTTACATTTGAAGGGATTTTTCAGCCAATTTACAGTTGTATTATTGTAATTATAATCCAGACACCAAATCATCAAACGTGAGTTAGTTCAAAGAAAGGAGTATTATCCCCGCAAGTCAAGTAAATGAAAATTTTGTAATTACATTACCCGTGAAAGCGTTTATCCACTGTATAAAATTATAGCCTCATATGGGAATATCGCATTCCGGTGCCAATATATATATATATATATATATATATATATATCCTTACTGTCTATAGTTAATGTATTTGGTCATGCTCTTTTCTAAATAATATCAACCGTGTGAAATATTACTTTTATTCAGTACTTTCATGACGATATATCTTAAATTGGACTATTACTGCCACCATACCATTAAAAGTCACAATATATATGCAATATATACAGGCAAGCTCACTTCATTCTTAGTGCCCAAGTTTCCTAAATTACTCTCAAATTAAACGGTACATTTTATTCACCAATAGTAATCTATGGGACACCTAAAGTGAGGCTTGAGTGAGCTGAGCAGTGTTAGGTGCATTTCCATCTGCTTTTATCATCCTTTCTCAACGAACTATAAATACCCCCTGTTCTAAAATCAGATGATCCTCTGAATCATTATGATTTTCTTTCAATAAAGCTCGCTTGCCTCTGCCCTGTCTTCTCTCAATATCCCGCTATCGAAGCGAAATTTGCTAATTGTAGGTTAAATCTGCAGAATTATTAGGGAAAAACAGATACCTTTGCTTAATTTTAAGCGATTGTGACGCTTTCTAGCAAAAAAGGTAAAACGAAACAGATAACGTAGCACCTGCGAGCTGGATAACCACAGCAGATCTTGGACTTCTTGGTTTCCGCAATTAGTTCTTACCAGCCAGGGGAATTAGTTATTAATTCAGTGTAATTAAAACTGCTTTTATTAAAACCTGGCTATTTGGATAAATAAGCATTTTGCAAAATAAACTAAAACCTTACGAGTGTTACATATTCTCAAACTTAGGCACTATTTTACTTAAGAATGATGCAGGGTGTGTGATAGACTTACCTCCACGTGGTGCACCCTGGGCAACGTATACTCATACGGCAAAAAAAAGTCTATTACCTGGCAGTTGACTTCAAACTACCATGACCCCACTGTATGTCATATTCGACTGCTTTCACAGTACTCATCGCACCTTTTTCCACCTTATCTACCTTCGTCTTTGATGCACTCTTCTGTCCCCCCCCCCCACTCTTGAATTATTTTACACTTTGATGTTCCTTCCCCTCTGTGAAGACTGAAGTCAACTAAAGGGCTAATGATAACAATCAAAACGCCTGCCATTTGATATAATAATAACTTAAGAACGATGTCAATAAATATTTCAAAATGAGCTCCCCCCTCACCACATGGAGGTACGTCTATCACACATTCCAGATATAGGCTAATATTTATTTATATCAAATGTCAGGCTTTATGATACCTATCATTAGCCCGTTAGTTGACGACAGCCATCAGACAGGGAGAGGAACATCAAATCGAAAAAAAGTCGAAAGGGGAGGGGAACAGAAGTGTTTTAAGGATGTAAAAGGGACTGACACAGGGGTAGATGAAAGGTGAGGTGAATACTGTGAGAGTAGTCGAACATGACATACAGCGGGGTCATGATAGCTTGAACCCAGAAGTCAACTGCCGGTTTATAGGCTTTTTTTGCGCATGAGCATACGTTGCCCAGGGTGTACCACGTTGAGGTAAGTCTATCGCACACCCCGAAAGCCCACACTACGCCACAGGGAATTGAACCCGGGTCTTCCACGTGACAGGCGGAGATACTAGCCACTATACTATCGTGGTGACAAGAAGTCGGCAACACCGGGTATTCCCAGCCGGTCACCCATGTAAGTACTATCCCTGCCTGACGTAGTTTAACTTCGGTGATCGGACGGGAACCGGTGCTTTCTACGTGGTATGGTCATACGTATTTTGGGAAATAATAATTATGAGTAGCCAAATCTAGTTACTCCAATGGAATTAAAAAATGAAGAGTTTTCAATTAAATCTAAGCGCTGATATAATTAACCAGAAGCTTAACTGACTAATAGGAGATTAATTTACTTAACTAACAATGATAGACTTAGAATAGTCGTGAAGATCAATTAACACTGATTTTTTCGTTTTCTATTGACACACACATTGAAGCTTAGATAACATAGAAAAGAAAATATTCAAACCCGGATAAAATGAAAATGTCAAAATGTATTCATTTCGATCGCGAATAGATTAAATTTGCTTAAAGAAAATTTGAAATCTTTTGAATATGTACAATCTTTTAAATGGGTGAATCAGACCCACATAGGGAGTAAACAATTCGCATAAATCAATTAGTCGTTCGCTCATTTCTTGGAAAAAAATGGAGAGGAACTCTTGCCTTCCTGTTGGTGTAGAAAGAATTTGAAATTTAAACTGCTTCCCCCCCCCNCCCCCCCCCCCCCCCCCCCCCCCCTATCTGTCAGTATTTTGATTTAAGCAGATCTTTGCCACGACAGGATGCAGATTTTTATTTCAATAAAATTCCTCCCTCTGTACTAATAATCCACTAATGAATTAAAATAGGCTTATAACAAGTTAAAAGGGAAAGGCAATCACCGAATCAACTATGGAAACTTTGTCCCATTCAAATGGGTGTATTCCGATTCGCCCACAGAACATCTACAATAGCTTGATGCAGGAGAAAGGAGTAGATATGACGCATCAACTATAATATCACTTTGCGCTCTAAAATTTCGAACCTATTAAAGGATACAAATAACAGTCACTGACTGGGACAGAGGAAGGGGTGTGGGAACTTGCCTTAATGATCAGAATTGACTATTGCAGTGACCAACCTCATCAATAGATATGGAGGGATGACAATCGATAACTTGACCTACGAATTGAAAAGCATATATTCTGACCGATGCGGAACTGGCATAAATTTTATTTGTGGAATTCTCCTTGTCAGATGCCAGGGCTGCAATTAAGACAAGAAGAAAGGCTTTGCTCTGGAGAGAACATACTTGGTTCATTTAAAAGAGCCTTCAAATTGTATTGTTTATTAATAAAAAGCTTGCCATATCAGACTTCTTTGAGGAGAGGCCAATCAAAGTCAAGTCACCATGTCTCAAGGAGAGTTTACCCAACCGTGTGGGACTGCTGACCCTTATACTATACTCCGCCTAAAGGGTAATTAAGCCAAAGTGTGAAGTATGAAGTTAACAGTTGTGTCTGAGTGTTCACGGGGAGAAAACAGTGTTGTGTACTATGGAAAGGTTCGATCTTTTTCCGAAACGACCATCAAGAAGAACTTCCTGGACAAAATTTCAAGCTGTTTTAAGTCGAATTAAAGAGAAAAGCAATTGGCAATTCACTTACCTGAGTGTCATTCTTGGGTTTGAAAGTCAATTCAATGTCAATCTTTTCAATGGAAACTTCATAAAAAGCAAAAGCACATTTTTGGAACTTAGTGGTGCAGATATTGAAATCCCCAAACCCCTGAATTCAATCTCTAAGCCTTTACCCATTATATTTTCTCACAATCAGGTGACCATTTTGAAAATTTCAACCTCATTGTTTCTAAAGTTATAACTAATTGAATTTGCGGTAGTTTAATTTCAAAAAATAGTAATTTACCAATCGACCTTGGAGATTAGTATCCTTGAAGTTCACTCGATCAGTTTGTAAATTCAGGCATTAAGTAAATTTTAGGAAGTTTGTTTTTCAATTGAATAGAAATAAATTCGCTATCAAAGTTAATGATAGAAATAATCATTGAAAAACTTTTGTTTACATCAGTACCTACTTTTCGATCGACTGGTACATTATTTAATCCTACCTCATTTAATCGAATTTACCTTTAGTGTGTCCTCAGTCCCTTCGCATACTATGAATTTGCACATCATTACGAAGACAAGAAAACGATATAAAAAGTAAAGGCGGAAATTATATAAGATTGTATTATGAACGTAATTTCCTATTGGCTACCTTTCAATATGCTGTCATTGTTGACCCCGCTTAATATTCTCTAAACACCCATCTCCCGGCCAGTTTACCTATTAATATCACCTGTGTAGATGAATAGAGCCAAGGGTGGTAACAATTGAAATTGTGGCCCATATCGTATCAATACCAAATAGAAGTGACATTTGTGGCTTAATATTCAACTCCAGAACTACGCACGCGAGTGAATCAGGTAGCAGTTCCTTTAAGAAATACACACTAATAAATAAATATTGTTTTTTGGTTTAGTTTTGAAGGTAACTGAAACTATGATCCGTTTTTAAGGCATCGGAGTTGAATATATGGAGAGATAAAGGTAGAGTTTGAGGATAAG